GTTTACACGTTGCAAATTATGATCACCGGAGTGTTCGTGAGGCACCCAAACACCTTCTTTATGGAGTTTTACCATATTCCTTAGATGTTTATGTATCGTTTCATGAGAGACATGCAATTTCAGGGCCATTTCACGAGCCATTACATTTTTTAAGGCTACAGTCACTTGAACAAAATTTGCTGAACCATCGTTTACACTTACGAACGTTCAAAACATTTCAATAAACTTCTTTGATATTCTTTGTGGCTACAGAGGAGTTCTTTCCCTTTTTGTATTCAAACAGCATTACAAGCCGAATGTATTTTTTGTCGTGTGCCATCACCATAAGGGATTAGAGTATACTAAACTTTACACATTATAGAGACTACACTAATCTGACGTTTAGGCGGTTCGTTTAACTATTATACGTGATGTACGTTTTTTGGAGGGTGATTAATGAAATTTTTCCAAAACGCGACATTAATTTCTTGACGACCGAATATATATGTTCGTCCATCACATATGAAGATGACAGCCGTCCTACATCTCAGGGTTTTTGACGTACTCATGAATGACTAATAAGCACAATCCTTGCAAAAATGATGAACTTATCTGAACAGCCGAATTTAAACCAAGGTCTTCCACAGCTCGTCCATACTCATCCAATCGAATGCCTTGGTCAGGTCTACAAAGATGCAGTAGAGATTAATGTTTTGTTCTGTGCACAGTCTTGGATCTGTCTCGCTGCAAAGATCATATCCATGGTCCCTTTTCCTTTCCTTAAGCCACATTCATTGTCTGATGCGAACGCATCTACTATGTGTTGCATGAAATGTTTCAGCATTGTTCTAGCAATATTTTTCCAGCAATTACCAGCAAAACAATACCCTGGTGGTTGTCACAGATGTATTTGATTTCCCCTTTTTCTTGTACAAGTGGACAATTGATGCATCTTTGTATTAACGAGGGATTTTATCTTGAATCTACATCTGTTGGAACAACTCCATCATGCAATGTATAAGGTGATCTCCACCAGCCTTGTATGTTTCGGCTAGGATTGAATTAGAATCAGGTGTGATTTGCCATTAGACAAGACCCCAAAAGGCATTCTTAGTCTCAGTAATAGTGGGTTTCCTTGAAAGAACTTCAGTGGTGGTATGCTGAGGGAGATCATTGATATCTTCACTGATGATTGTTGATTCCCTGTTCAGTAGGTTGTTAAAGAGGTCAACCTATCTCTCTAGAA